TGAATATTGTTGTATTTAAATGATGATAAATGAATATTGTAAATCAGCAAAGAATATATCATCACAAATACATATAGAATTAATGAAAGTATAGATAAAATACAGAATAAAACAACACATTGATATTTACCAAATCAAAAGAAATGATTTGAATGGTATTATGTCAATGAAGGAAATGAAGAAAGAATAAGAAATAAAAGAAGAAGATGAAATTAAACAAATAATTAAAAGAACTATTACAATTTCAAACACTAATAAATAATGAAATTTCAATATGAAAATAATGAAATTCAATGACTAATTTCAATGAGAATAAAAAGATATTAAAGTGGAATTAGAAATATAATTAATTTCAATATATCATAATATTACAAATATATTGAATTTTCATTATTTATTCATTCATCAATGTTTTGTTGAATTATTTTATTCAATATTGAAAATATTTATTTAAAAGAAGAGTGAACAAACATATTGAAAGAAAATGAATTAAGAATTGAATAAATTATCAATTTCTTTTCTAATTGTTATTTCTTCTTATTCATTTCTATTTATTTATAACTCATTGTGTTTAAATTATGTTTTATACAAATATATCATTTTATTTAAATTCATCTGTAATGTAGTATTTCTTATTCTTCTTTTCTTTATTAAAATCATTATATTTATTCTTTTATTTATTATCATTTTCTTCTTATAAACCATAAAATAATTTGTATTAAATTATCTTGTTTGTGTTAATGTGCTGTTAAATATTTCTTAATTCCATCTGGTGTTGGTTCAATGGTGTCTTTGCCTGGTTTCCAATTGAGTGGACAAACTGCTCCATGTTCATCACTGAATTGAATTGCTTTAACTATTCTGATTGTTTCTTCCGTTGATCTTCCAATTCCATCATCATTCATTTGAATGTATCTTACTTTTCCTTTATCATCAATGATGACATATCCTCTTCTTGCAATTCCTGCTTCGACATTTAACATTCCATATTTGATAGAAATGCATCTCTTAATATCTGATACTAATGGGAATGTCAACTTTCCTACTCCTCCTTTACTTTTATCTGCTTCACACCATGCTTGATGACAATAAACTGAATCTACACTCACTCCAATAACTTCACAATTGATTTCTTTCATTGTCCTGCAAGTCACTATATCCAATCATTTCTG